AAATAAATAATTCATAAATTTTTTTTATATTCACAATTTTTTTAAATTTACTATAATGTAACAGCAAATCACAATTTCACATCTTAAATTTTTTATTTACTGTTGCATTATTGTGGATATAAAAAAAGTTACGAATATAAGAAGAAAAGTTGTGAATCATTTATCTTCAATAGAGACAATTTGATAATTTATATAAATTTATTAATGACAAAAATTTTTTTAAAGATTTTAAAAAAATTATGATATTTTGTGAGACCAAATTATCATTTATATATTTTAGAGAAATTTTATTATTATTTTTTCTAATTTAATTCAGAAAAATGACAACAAAATTTTTTTAAAATATATAAACAAGCTGTGAAATGTGACAATTTTTCTTAAATCTTTTGAGATTATTCTCATATTAATATTTTTGTAAAATGACTATAATGTCCGCAACTTATAATGAAAAAGAAACAGATCGGTGATTGAAAAATTTATAAAGCAAAACTTGTCACTTGTTATTTCATTTTAGTGATTGTCAAAAAAAAATATTTATTATTTAAATTAAAATAATTATTGATATTTACAACACTTAAACTCCAATAATTAAAAAGCTTATAGAGAAGAGGTTGTAATTAATTATCTCATTTACTTATTATTAAAAAAAATAGTTATTATCTAAATCAAAATAGTCATCACTGTTTATAACATTTAAATTTTAATAATTAAAAAATTTGTGTAGAAAAACTTATCATTTGTTATTCAATTTAGTCACTATCAGTGAAAAAGCAGTCATTTTTTTAAAATCAAAATGGTCACTGATAATTTAAATGGAGGACGTTATAATTATTTTACAAAATTCATTAATATGAAAAGATTCTAATAAACTTAAGAGTGATTATCACATTTTATGGGGCGTTGTTGTCATTAAATCATATGCATATTTTGGAATTTTTTTTTTGTTATTTCCCCTAATTTAATTTCATTTTATTTCGTTGTGAATATATGTTACAATTTTTTCTAAAACCTTTAATTAACATTGTATAAGAAATTACACCTCTGTTCGCATGAATAAGTTTATAAGTGACATATTTTTTTGAAAAATAGAAATTGTATTAGAATTATATAGATATTTATTTTATTTTCAAAACTAATCCAAGTTCTTTCTAAAAATAAAAAGATTTTTTTTTTCTCAGAGAGTTTTTTTTTTCAATTTTGTTAAATTATGAAAATCTCCTTTTTAGCTTTTAAATCTACACAAACCTCTACTGAGGATAAAAATATATGGATTATGTCCCCCAGCCTCCCCCCCCCCCCAAAGATTTACACATGCTTCCTTCTCATTTATGTGGAAATTTGTGTGATTTTAATAAAACTTAGAAGATATTTTTTAAAATTTTATTTTTTTGTTCTACAATAATTTTTTTAATTTATAAAATCTAATAGATATTTATATAGTATTAGTGATGAAATTGAGAGGATCTTTATTTGTTTCGATTTTAAGAATATATAGGAGCCATATATAATTGTGACAAAATTAGTTGAAATAGTTTTGTTCTAAATAATAGAGGTTTCCACAAAAACATAGAGTACACCCATAATCTTATTTATTGGTTACTTCTAATATGTTTTATCTAAATTATGAAACTTTAAAATTCATTAATTTTTTTAAAAATTTAAAAAAAATTAACTTTTTTTGGTGAAAAAGAACTTTGCTCCTATAAAATATGTATACTTTAAACATATTTTCTCTTATTAATATTTAATGGAGATAAAAGAAAAAACTTATGATAAAAAATAATAATGTGATTTATCATTCTCTCTTCGCCTTATAAAAACAGTTAATAATAATAAGAAAATTAATCTGTATGTCCTTACAGTTTTTCATAGTAACAATTCACAATTTTATTAGTTTTTTATGAAAATTCAATGGGAATAAAAATAATTTAGAAAACATTCTAATTTTATAAATTTTGAATTATAAATATTATTTATTAATTATAAAGTAACAAAAAATTTAATTTTTATTTTTTGAAAGTAAAAATTTAAGAATTTTAATTTTGGTGATTAAAAAATCTAATGTATGAAACCACGAGAGTTAAATTAAAATAAAATAAATTATAAGAATTTAATTTAAAATTGAATAAAATTATAACATGCAGAGATATTTTATCTAATAATATTGATGATAATGACTTTGATTTAATAAAATCATCAGATAATAAAACAATATTAGTCGGCGCTTAACATCATAACACAAATTTCAATTCTTAATGATAATATAATAATCATTGAAAATAATAATAATAAAGTAATGAAGTTATCAAATCTTAAATGATTCTAATTTACGCATTCAGAGAAATTAATTTAGCAAGCATTCCGCGGTCCACGGATAAGGAGTCTCTCCTTTTTTTTTCCTCCCTTTCCTTCCACTTCTTCCATCTACACCATTTAAATTTTTTTATTAAATAATTTTTTTAAATAAAAAAATTAATGAATGATGGAGATGGGAGAAGTGAAGGGAAATGGAGGAAAAGGAAGTGGAGAGACCCCACTTCCGCGGTCCACGGCTTAACAAGATCCTTGTCCTTGCCCATTACCTACGTTTCTTTTTAAGAAAATAATTCAATTTAATATTTGATTTGTACTGATCTATATTCTAAAATTTAGATCTTAAATATGGCTCGACTTTAAATTTTTTTTTAAAACAATATTAATCTCGTTTTTTTGGGTGGAAAATCTCTTTTATTTTTGTTTGGCCTAAAGAAAATCTCTTTTATTCAACCTAACTGTTTGGTTATTATAGCACATCCATCTAATCTTCTAATTTATAACTCCAAATTTATAATCTTGGGCATAAATGTTAAATATAATTTCTTAGGGATAAGAGGATTATTTTTCTGTGGCAAAATAAGCTAATTTCTCTTAAAAATGATTTATATAACCCAGTAAGATTTAAATCCACTGAATTTGATATTAATAAATTTATGTAAAGTTTTCCCCATTAAGAAAGAGAGATAATGTTTTATATTTTACAAAAAAATAAAAAATAAATAAAAATATTAAACAAAGAAAAGTTTACCCAAATTCATTAATTTTAACTTCAGATGATTTGAATTTCATTATAGTATGCGTGATATCAAGTTTATATCTTTAGGAGAGTTTTAAAAAAAAAATTAATGACAGTTAGGTCTTTATAAAAATTTTTAAAAAATAAATTATAAATATTAATTCAGATAGTTATAGACAAGAATTCTAAATATAAATTGAGAGTTGTATTTATTTTTAAATGTCTTATTTATAATTGAAACTCTTAATCCTTTTGTCTTGAAATATAAGCAGCTTTTAGGAGAAAAAAATTGTATATGAAAAAAGTTTTCATTCTTATAAAAATATAAAATGTTCTATATTTTTATCCTTAATTTTAATTACTAATATACTTCATAATAAGTGAGAGATAAGTTTACACCAAGGTGTAGGTTAATAAATACAAGAGATAAAATAATTTTTTTACATATACTAAATTACTTATATTTTGAACTATGATTAGTTAAAGTAATATATTTATCTTTTAGACTAAAGGGAGTAATTTTTTATTATTTAAATTAATATTTACGACTTATTTTTTTATAAAAATTCAAAAACTTAAACGTCATTAATTCACTCTTTTAGGATTTACCAGTCATTTTTTCAACAATATTTTAAAGCTAATTTTTAATATTAAAATTTAATATTCATCCCCTTTCATTTTAATAAAAACCCAACAATTTAAAATTCAAATAATTAATAATTATTTTTCATGATTGTCAACCACTACTATCGGAAATATAAAGCCAAATCCAAGCATCCAACCTTGAGAATCTTCTCATACATTAATCTTACTCAAATTTAGCTCTATTTATTAGCGTGGCAATACTAATATAATATTAATCACTTAGATAATCAACATCGCATTTTAATATACCACTAGTTGAATGAAATATTAAAATGAGACTTTCTTTTTGCTCTTTTTTTCTTGCTTTCGCATTCTTTCAAAGTTACAAAACTACAACAGTAATTGTTCTGTTTTGTAATTATAATCCAAAATCAAGTAAATGAGACTAAAAGCCAATGTTTAAGGCGGATTAGTTGGTAATTAGCCAATCATCCTCTTTCAAGTCTTATTAGTCAACCTTTTTTTTTTTTTTTTGAAATTGACATATAACTACTATAGGTTATCCTATCTATTCCCTGACACGCACCTTAATATTACCTTTTTTTTTTAACCAAATCTAAATTATTTATTTATTTTTGAATGCGACATTTCAATTACTTAAATCAATTACATATCCTTCTAAGGAAAAATAATTTTTCCTTTATATAATATTCTCTCTGAGCATACTTCTGATATGTCTTATTTGTAAATCACTTATAATATATTTGACTTAAATTATGAACAGCTTTAAAACTTATTAAAAATTTAAAAATTTTAATTTTATCCTGATTAAATATATATATTTTCTTAATGTATTTTCTCTCATAACACTTAATGGAAGTAAAAGAAAAAACGTATGATAAAAAAAAATCAATAACATATCTTGTAAATAGAAAAAAAAATTCTTGTTTTTTACCTTACAAATAAGACATGAGAGAGTAAATACATTTTTTTTAGCAAAGAGAGAGTAAATATATGAATATAAGTTATCCTTGCCAAATTCTTTACATTCATAAAAATGAATTGTTTGGTGCATTTGAATAAATACTAATAATACAGAGAACAAAGTATTGAAAGTTGAGCATGAGCTCTTTTCTTATTATGTGACGGATGAATGTTCGAATCCCTACTAAATACTTCATATTGAGAGACTTTTTTTTTTTACCAGAAAATGTGACATTTTTTTTAATTATTTTGTGTGAGTGTATAATTACATTAAAATTAAGATTAAAAGTTATATTATTTACATGATGTCTTAGGCAGCACATCAATTTCCGGGAAAAATGTTGGTGATGTAATGAGAAAATTGAGCTGGGGTTTCTACTTTCTACATAAGAACACTACACCATGAGTTTCACCACCATGTGTTTCTCACATTAGGCCCTGGAAACTTTTCTGGGTCTCCTAATCGTGTGCCCAAAGATTAGGTTTTGTTCTGCTTGGAAGTTTAAGATCCCTCCGCTTTTTTGTCCAAAAAAAAAAAAAAACAGAGAGAGAGAGAGAGAGAGAGAGAGAGAGGTAGAGATAGAGAGATAAAAGAAAAAAGAAAAAGGTTGATTGTGAGCTCTTGAATTGTTCTCTTCTTCACATTTCTGTTCAAAAGTGAGGAATTGAAGGATTGAGAGGAAATTGAAGCGATGGGATTAGAGTTGAGGCAAGTGGTGGCTGCTATACTCACCATCACAATGTTCGTGATGCTTGCAAATATGATCAAGAGAGACCATTTTGATGCTCAAGTAAGATTGTCTCACTCATTTTAATCTTCCATTACGCAAATTTCGTTTTAGCTTTACCTTCTTTTAATGTCTCTCTTTTGTCTGGATTTCAATGTTGTTGTTATCTTTATCTCCTCTCTCTCTCTCTCTCTCGCGAACACTGACAAACATAGACGTGCTTCGGTTTGTCTAGCTGGATTCAACTAATTGAGCCACTCGTTCGGCTTCATTTTGTTTTCCCTCCTTTATCTTTGGGGTTATCTGGTTATTGAGGTTAATCAGTAAGAATATCAAATTGTTGCATGTTTGAATTGGAGGAGAGCGAGTGATTCTAATGGGTTCGTAGGCTTTAAAATTAAGATGAAACAAATAGCTGCCAAGCAATATTCTGAATTGCAGAGATGAGAATGCAAGAAAACTAAAGGGAAATTGAACGGCGAAACCCATTATGTATGCTTAGAGGAAGTAGCTTGTAGACATGATAGATTCCTGAGTTCACTGACTAGGAGAAAATTATTGAATGTTGAGCGAGATGCTAGATGTTTAATACACATTGGTAACAATTCATGCGAGCAATGCTAAAAAGTAAAAACTGTACTTGAAAACCGGCCATTTAATTGTTTGAATTCCGATGATTTATTATGAATCTGGCAGTATTACAAGAAGTCAGCAAATCCTGAAGCTTCATCCTAAGAAGTTGTGGCTTAGTGCAAGTCACTTCCAGTTTGTTGTAGAGATTGGAAGTTGTGGTGAGAGTCGGTGTTCCTGCTCATAGAATGGATCACTAAACTCTAAAGCTAAAGTTCAGCTTGCTTTGTGAAATAGGATTCCTATTCTGTCACAGTTTTGTAATGTCTATGTTTACTGACATATCTAGAAGGAAATTAGTGGGGAGTCAAAATTTTTTTACAGAGAATTGCAAGGGAAGGGGGGATCCTCCGTTGTCTCCCTTTTAATCTGTTTGTGTTGTTTATAATCATTGCTCAACTGTTTCTATCACAATTCAATATGTTTTTTAAAAATAAGATGAGAACATTAGGCTCATTTTTCATCCTCAACTGTACTTTTTTGTCATATTGTCTGTTCTATTAGGTTTGCCAAATGAACCCTAATAGCAGAATTAAGAATCTGACTAGGGTTAGTAATAAAATTAATTTATGTAGCTTGTACTCTATCTATTGAATTTTCTTTGCAACTTAAATCTATAATTAATCTTGTTTGATCACATTGTCCATCTCTCCCCCACCCTATCTATACAAAAATTTAAAAGAATGAACAAAGAAGTTTATTTTAATAATTTCAAGTGCTTTTCTAATGCTTTTTTTTTTTTTACCACATTTTCAAATGTACAAACTGATGCATGGCAAGCTACAAGAAAACTGAATTTGACAAATACTTAAATAATTCATATTAACGTCTACATACTATATATATGTGTGCATGAGACTGCCGATTCAAACCGTGATTTGAGAAGTGAAAGCAGAGCACTTTCACCATCATCAAGCCACAAGTTCAATATGCAAAGTTAATTCCCTAAATTACCCCTATCCCTATTTCCCTAATTACCCTTAATTACTTCTAACCCTTAATTTCCATATAACGCAAACAAATGATTATCATTCAGTTACAGTTATGATTCATTTGCTTCACTTTTCTTGTTTTACCTTTTCCTTTACAAGGAAGCACTTCCAGGAACAGAGAATGCTAATTTTGTGAGAGCAAAGCTTGATAGCTATTTAAGAAAGAGGGTTGCACCTTGGAAGAGAGATGTGGACGCGTTGAAACCATGCTGGCTAAAGCCATATGCTGGTAAGATTTGATTGTATGGCTCCCAATTAATTATAGGTATATTAAACATATTCAAAACAATTGCATATATGGCCAGTCAGTTTTTCCTTATCAATTCACATTTTCGTTATCTGGCAGATGATGTGGAGCAGACTAAGGGGTTTGTTATATTTTCATTGACCAATGGCCCTGAATTTCATATTTCTCAGGTATCTGATTCAGCCGTTCTGGTCAACTTGTTACGAAATGCTTGTGTATCAACTACACTTGTCACCCAAAAATTAAAAAAAACTCTTGAGCTTTCTTCTAAAGAATTCTAGACTCTACATTAAATGTAATTTTGGTTATGTAGATGAATGATTGCATTACTGTCTAATTGCCTAACCAAGTTATCTTTTTTGTCACTTGGTGGATAGAGTTCAATGTCATTATTTCATTCGCCTTTGTACTCGTATGTAATCTAATGTGTTTAGATAGAGGACAATAAAGGGGAAAGGAAGCAAAGTGAAAATATTCTCTTGACATTTTATGATTTGGATTTTAATAAGCATTTTTTTCCTTCGCTTCTCGTTCATTATCCTCAATCTAAACATGCTCGAAGAACAAAAGTCTGCTAGAAACACCATCTCTGCCAAAAAAAGTTTAAAATTAAAATTTAATTCCTTTTACTTTCTAATTTTCTAGTTGTTTTCAGATTGCAGATGCAGTGATTGTTGCTAGATATCTTGGGGCTAAACTTGTGCTCCCTGACATTAGAGGGACCCAACCTGGTGACAGGAGGTTTGTCATGAATTTCCTCCTGAAAATGATGAAAGAGCATTTTTTTGGGGATTTTTTTTCCCATTTCCTTATTTGATTCTCTATCTATAGTAGCTCTTTAAAACGTAATACGGCTGCTTGGTTTTCAAATAAGTAACTCAAATAATTTTGTGAGTTTTCTTTCCTCTGTCATGATTGGTTATCTTATGCCATGACGTGTGAGCTATTTGTGCACGTTATGCTGTCAAGGTTTTTACTTTTTAACTTGGTTTCTTTTCCTGACCTTTCTATATGTAATTCTATTCTAGCTCATTTTTCTCTTTACCTGTACCAATCGTTGTTCAGCTTCTGTACTGTTGTTTTCTTAACGTGAAATATACAAAAGATAGCTTGCAGTTAAACCCAATTCTCATACCTGGTTATTGTAATTTTAGTTGGGACAAGTGCTTGTTACTAGCTAATGTTATTGATACGTGCAGGAACTTTGAGGAAATTTATGATGTTGATGCATTCATGAAAAGCATGGAAGGAGTTGTAAGAGTGGTAAAGGATCTTCCTGATTATATATCTTCTCGGAATATTGCTGCGGTGAAGGTCCCTAATCGGGTCACTGAAGACTACATAGCTGCCCGTGTCGAGCCAATTTATAGATCGAAAGGAAATATTAGACTTGCAACTAACTTCCCTTCAATAAACATGAGAAAGGGAGGCAAAAAAGGTGATAGTGATTCTGTTGCATGCTTAGCAATGTTTGGAAGTTTAGAGTTGCAACTAGAAATACATGAATTGATTGAGTTAATAGTTGAAAGACTAAGAACCTTGAGCCAGAATTCAGATGGTCGGTTTATAGCTGTGGACTTGAGGGTTGACATATTGGATGGGAAGGGTTGCGATGGAAGCAGCAACGATAAACAAGGGAAGAGCTGTTTCAATGCACAAGAAATTGCAGTATTTTTAAGGAAGATTGGTTTTGACAAGGATACCACCATATATGTGACTGGATCAAGGTGGGATAACAGCTTAGATTCTATGAAAGATCTGTTCCCTAAAACTTATACAAAGGCGAGTCCCTTTCTTCTGCCTGTTTCATCCCTCACACACAAAAGCTTGCGCACAGACACGATGTTTTTGTCTAAATCCTGTCCATTGGAGCAATTAAAGTGAGATTCTGAAATCTTTGGGATTTTTTATTGTAGGATGCCATCATGCCTGAAGATAAGAGGTCAAGATTATTGGATTCTGAAGGTTCTGAATTCGAGAAAGTGATCGACTTTTACATAAGTACTGAGAGTGACGTTTTCGTTCCGGCAGTCCCAGGTTTGTTCTATGCCAATGTAGCTGGTAAGAGAATTGGTTCTGGTAAAACCCAGATATTTCTTCCAGCTGACATTTCAGATTTGTCTTTTTCTGCCACCGACTTCCTCTCGCCTTATGTCTACAAGAAAAACCACTTCGCATACTCTTGTTACTGTTAACATGTGGTTTTAAAAAGAAGGGTATTAGAAAGTGTTCAGAAACCTTAAATATGGTTTTGCTTATTCAAAGTTGTGAGAGTTCCCAGTAAAAGGATGGGAAGGGAGGAAGAAAGGGTTCATTTTAAAGAGGTAACTGGTATTTAGTATGTACACAGGAATTTCAAGTTCATATATGAAGTTTGTAAAAATATTGTTGCCTCATGATTGTTTACAGTTGGTGAAACTAGCGAGATGCATTCATTTCATATGGTAAAGTTGCATGGTATGATGTTTGCACGTGTTTGTCTTTCCTACACTCTTATGAGGTCAAAGATATTTTATTTGTTTATCAAACATGAGCAGTTATTAGAAAAAGAGTTCATGCTAGCATTAAAGAGAAACTATTCCAATTTGATTGCTTTTAGGGAAAATACTAATTATGAAAAATTAATTATTTGATCTTTATATTTTTGGTTTGGCTAATACTCAATTCTTAAAGTTTAATTCATCTAATTGAATCCCTCAAGTTTCAATTTAATTTGTTGGTCCCTATAAGAAAATCATCTAGTCCTTCAAAGATTGAGTTGAAGTTGAGTTATAAAGTGTAGCATATTTGATGGCTAAAACTTGAGGGATTAAATTGCATTGATTTAAATTTTAGTGTTTGGATTGTGATTGAGTTAAAACTATATAAATTTAAATGATTAAGAGCTTGTTTAACAACCTATTTTAAGAACGGTTTTTTATTCTCTAAAAAAAAAAATTTATTTGGTAACGTGTTCTTGGAAAATGTTTTGGAGAAAAAAAATCAAATATTGTTTTAGAAAATAGAAAAATAAAAATATTTTTTAAGTATTCTAGGATTATTGTTTTGAAAAATAAAGAAAAATATGAAAAATATTTGTTTTCATTATTTTTTTTCAAAAACATGTTCTACAAAACATTAATTCTAAAAACAATAAAAAAAAAACTCTAATTTTTTCTAAGGAAAAATAACATTCAAGGATCATTGTGTGAAATTTATATCACATAAGGACAAAATAATTTTCTATTTACTTTGTAGTCCTCTGGTCTTTTTTTTTAAATTAATTTCGTAAGTAAAATGATGAAATTGCTCCTCAAATAGTTAAAAAAAAAAGAAATCTCACTGTCATCAATGCCAGCTATAGGACCACCGTCGCTGACGAGGTCATTGAAGCCGTTGTTGCCGGTTGTTGGTGGCAAGTCACCGGAGATCCATCGTCGATGACATTTTATTTGAGAAATAAGCTTTTTATGTGGTTAAAAGAGGGTTTGATCCTATGACCTTTGACTACCTAAAAAGCTTGGTGGCCATAAAACCCTTTAATAACATATAGCAATATATATATATATATATATATAAGTAATAAACTAAGTTTCTAATCACTTTCATGCAATAACATAATAGTGTGTTATTAATTTTTAAATGAAACTTGTTATTTTATAAATATTATTTATTAATCTGACATGAACAATTACAAATTGAGGTTTTAAAAGTTCATACATTTTACTTGTTAAACATCTCAATGTATTGTTATCAATTATAAATAGGTTATTGTCAAAACCAAATAGATACTTGTTAATAAATGACAAATACATATAACTAAACTTTTTCTATTAATTTTTCTAACTTGTTAAAATCATAATAAATTTTTATTAAAAACAACAACAACAACAACAAGCCTTTATCCCACTAGGTGGGGTCGGCTACATGGATTGTAAGACGCCATTGTGCTCTATCATTTATTAAGCTTTTAGAAATATTATTAATTAAGAGATCACGTTCAACAACTTCCAAGAGTGTTCTCTTAGGCCTTCCTCTACCTCTCTTAATCGGACTCAAAGTTATATGTTCCACTCTTCTCACTGGTGCCTCCCTTGGTCTTCTTTGTACATGCCCAAACCATCTCAACCGATTTTCTACCATTTTTTCCTCAATAGGTGCCACCCTCACTTTTTCACGTATGTGCTCATTTCGAATTTTATCTTTACGTGTATGTCCGCACATCCATCGTAACATTCTCATCTCTGCTACTCCAACTTTATGCTCTTGCTGTCCCGTTAGAGCCCAGCATTCACTACTATATAACATTGCCGGTCTGATAGCAGTACGATAAAACTTTCCTTTAAGTTTATTAGGCACCTTACGGTCACAAATAACTCCTTTAGCTTTTCTCCAATTAAACCACCCAGCTTGAATTCTATGTGAAATATCTCCACTGATTTCGCCATCATTTTGGATAATGGCTCCCAAATATCTAAACTTTTCCACTTGAGGTATAATTTGATCTCCCAATTTCACTTCCAAATTATTTTCGAATAGTCCTTTATCAAATTTACAATATAAATATTCCGTCTTACTTCTACTCAGACGAAAACCTTTCGACTCCAATGTCCTCCTCCATAACTCAAGTTTGCAATTAACCTCTTCTCTTGTCTCTGCTATAAGAACTATATCATCCGCGAAGAGCATACATTTCGGGATTTCCTCTTGAATATGTTCCGTCAAAACATTTAAAATCAAGTTGAACAAATAAGGACTCAGAGATGATCCCTGATGTAGCCCAATCTTTATAGGAAAATCCTTTGTTTGACCACTAGGCGTTCTTATACTAGTTTTTACCCCCTCATACATATCTTGTATGGCTTTAATATAAGCAATCCGTACTCCCTTTTTTTCCAACGCTTTCCAAAGCACTTCTCTTGGTATACGGTCATAAGCTTTTTCCAAATCAATAAAAACCATGTGTAGATCTTTATCTTTACAACGATACTTTTCCATTAATCCCCTTAGTAGATAAATCGCCTCTGTAGTTGATCTACCTGGCATAAAACCAAATTGATTCTCAGAAATACTTGTCTCCAATCTCAACCTGTGCTCAATTACTTTCTCCCACAATTTCATTGTGTGGCTCATGAGTTTAATCCCTCTATAGTTAGTACAATTCTGAATATCTCCTTTATTTTTATAAATAGGAATTAATGTACTTCTCCTCCACTCATCAGGCATTTTCTTGGACCGTAAAATCACATTAAATAACTTAGTTAACCATCTCACCCCTTCTTCACCTAAACATTTCCACGCTTCGATAGATATACAATCAGGTCCGTTAGCTCTACCATTTGCCATTTTCTTAAGAGCTTCCTTTACCTCCTTATCACGTATTTTTCGATAGAATGACAAATTTTGTTCTCCTTCACCAGTTACTAAATCCTCCAAGTTACTAGATGAATCCTCTCCATCATTGAAAAGTTTAGAAAAATAAGTCTCCCATCTATTTTTAATTTCATCATCTGTAACTAAAATTCTTCCCTCTTCATCCTTAATACACCTTACCTGTTCTAGATCTCTTGATTTTTTTTCCCTACTCTTGGCAATCTTATAAATATTTTGCTCTCCTTCCTTCGTCTCAAGGTTCTTATAAAATTCTTCAAAAGCTTTAGAACGAGCTTCACCCACAGCTCTCTTAGTTTCCTTCTTAGCCATACGGTACCTCTCCCAATTTTCCTCATTGTTACACAAATGTATGGCTTTAAAACAGTTCTTCTTATACTTGATTTTGTCCTGTACACTATTATTCCACCACCAAGACTCCTTATCTCTCGGACCAGGACCTTTCGATTCTCCCAAAACTACTTTTGCAACCTCCCGTATCTTTTTAGCCATATCCTCCCATATGATGTTAGCACTTCCCTGAGAATCCCAAATTCCTTTATCCAAAAGATTTCGCTTGAAAATATCTTGCTTCTCACCTTTTAATTGCCACCACCTAATCCTTGGTGTTACTACTTGTCGACGTTTTTGGATTTTACTCATAATACACACATCAAGGACTAGGACCCTATGTTGTGTCGTTACAGCATCTCCAGGGATCACCTTACAATTTTTACAAAGTTTTCTATCTGTGTTCCTAACCAAAAGAAAATCAATCTGCGACCTTGAGGCTCCACTTTTGTAGGTGATGAGATGCTCATCTCTCTTCTTGAAACAAGTGTTGGCAATCTTAAAATCATACGCCAATGAGAAATCAAGAAGAGTTTGCCCTTCATTGTTTAGCTCTCCAAAACCAAAACCACCATGCACCCTCGCATACTGACCAGCTTCCCTCCCGACATGCCCATTAAAGTCTCCTCCAATAAAAATCTTTTCACTCTGTGGTATGTGTCGAATCAACCCCTCCAGATCCTCCCAAAATAATTCCTTAAGACTGGCTTCTGTCCCGACTTGCGGCGCATAAGCGCTAACAATATTAACAGTCTCACGTCCAATTATCATTTTTAAAGAAATAATTCTGTCTCCAATTCTGCTAACTTCTACAACGTTCTTCTTCCACTCCTTATCTATAATGATGCCTACTCCATTGCGTGCACTTACTTTTCCTGTATACCAAAGTTTGAAACCTTGAATATCCTTAGCTTCTTCTCCACGCCATTTTGTTTCTTGCAAGCAAAGGATATTGATTTTCCTTTGAATCATAACCCCTACAACCTCTACAGATTTACAATTTAATGTCCCAACATTCCAAGTACCAAATCTAATTTTGCTCTTATGGACTAACTTCTTTAGCCGCGTGCGTCCAGAATGACGCGGTAGCCCTTGCTCATTTAACACTACATCCGGGCGCCGATGCAGCGGCTCTAACTCACTTATCACTGTACTCGAGCCATGCAGCGCGTTACTTACGGGCAACGACCTAGCATTAACATTATAACGTCTATTGTCCATGTTCATGATAGATTCAACAAATTTTTACATTGGCTGTTGATGGCCTAACACAACCCTCCTCCTTTACCCGGGCTTGGGACCGGCTATAAACATAGGCGGAGTTATAATAAATTTTTATTAATTTTGAATAAATTGTTATTCTTTTACAAATGATTTCAAATAATTTGTAAAATAACAAGAAGTAAAACTCACGTATTAGGACATTTAATAAGTAAAATTCACGCATTTTACTTATTAAACATCTCAATGTATTATTGTCAATCACCAATAGGTTGTTGTTACAATCAAACAGATATTTGTTAATGAATGACTAACATGTACAACTAAACCCTTTCTGGTAATTTTTTAACTTATTAAAATTATAATAGATTCTTGTTAATTTTGAATAAATTATTGTTATTTTACAAATGTTACTAGTTAATCTAACATGGATAATTATAAATTGGAGACTTTAAAACTCACGCATTTTACTTGTTAAACGTCCCAATATATTATTGTCAATTACAAATAGGTTGTTGT